AAGCAACCCCCTTCCTCTGCCAGATCTGCTGCTCTACGTCCTGCTTCATATGCTGTTCTGTTCCCTCCCTCCTGCCCTGTGCTTCCTGCCTGATTTCCTGCTCTTCTTTCCTACCATATCTGCTGTTGTGTTACCTGATCCCTTCCTGATCTGCTGCACGCCACACACCAAGGCTGCCCACGCAACTTGTGCCAAAGGGTGACCACCTTTGGTGTATGTGACCTTCAGCAGGCCACTTCACCTCTCCATAAATGGGAGAGTGGCAGAACACAAGTTGTGCCTGCCACATTAAGAGGTTTCAGGCAGGCTTTGGGTAGCTGTCAGGTGCGGGTTGGCCCAATTAGATGGTCACATGACCAAAGAGGGGCCACCAGATTGGAGGAGGGCTGGGTAGCCTCAGTATAAGCCAAGGCCCTAAGAGCTGAGCTGGCAGTTATATCTAAGGAGCTAAAGGGGCAACATCACTCAGCCTGCAGCTCCCAGAACACCTGGAGGGCAGGGTAGGAACTATGGGGTGGAGGAGGTTCCTGGGTGTGAGAGGGTTCTGCACTTTTATCTTCGTCTCCCCTCTGTACTCACCTGCCACAACTTAGAGAAGGCCAGGGACTGGAGTCAGCCCAGAGTGTGGGACAGGAGGCCTCATGCCCTGTCATAGAGTAGGACCTGAATTGGGTGGCCTGAAGGTCTGCGAGGGCCCAAGACCAAGTGTGAGAGAGAGGAAGCTTGAAGGGCTTTATGGAGTAGGGCTTGTGGTGGGCCAGTAGGGGGTGATCGTGCACTGAGCCACCCACCTCACTATGCCTGACCACCTTCCAGGCTCTAAGTGCCTTCCTGGAGGTCAACCCCCTTCCTGGAGCACACCCACTAACCTGGGGGTAACAGTGCCACCACCCAGAGTCTGGAATGATTGTGGACCTGTGCCCTCTGGGAAGCACAGGCCTAGCAGTCCTTGAGAGTACTTGACCCACTGCAAGAACTTGTGGTGCTTCCCTCAGTCTGAAGCACAAAAATAATGGTCTCCCCTAGTCAGACGAACCAAGGGGACCCCAAGGCATAATCTAGACCCTCTCCCAATAAGTCTCCCATGCTAGGTACAAAGGAGAACTTTACTGGTTACAAGGAGTAGGCTTGGAATGGGGTACAGGGTAGAGCAATATCAGAGAAATCCCATAGAGCAAACAGGGTGGCTGGGTAGCCTCTGATCACACATCTGAGTTACTGCAAACTATATATCTACTTAGATCTCAAGTAGCTTACTCATGAGTATCATCCAGAGGCAGGTGGAGATTCCCTCTGGAGGCAAACAGTCCATTGATCATAAGTTTCAAGAGAGAGCAAGTTTCAGATGGTCTAGCTTCTCTGAGTTTTCATCATGGCCACTGCCCTCCTCCTGGGCAGTCCTTCACTTATACAGACCTTATGACCTCATTTACCTGATCCAATGAAGGCCAACAACTGTTGGCTGCCAGCCAACCAATTTGAAATGCATCACTGGTTGCCAAGTAGACTGGCAGGGTCTTTAGCCCCCTCCCAGTCAGGTTAGCATTGCTTAGAACAGGGAGCTTGAGCCCCTCCACCCAGGTATGTGATGCCAGTCACATAGGCAGAGGGAGCAGGTTTCCCTTCTCCCTCAGGACTGTATCCAGCTCAGGTTACCACTCAGGGTTACATAAAGAGATGGGGCAGAGGAGTCTGCCCTTTGCAGTGACCACGGTAACCAAATCATCAGGTACCAGAGTTTGGGGAGAGACAGAAATGGTATTCTGCCACATGGCTAAGGGGCTCTGAAGGGCCATACCGAGTAGGGCAGAATGCATGTGGCCCATGGTGGGATGAGAATGAATGTGACCCAGTAAAAGGGGCAGTGTGAATAGGACCCAGTTATGGGGAGTGAAGAAGGCCCAGCATAGGGGCAGGGTTTGGCCCTGGAAAGAGCTAAGTGAGAGCCAACTGGTTGGATGGAATCTGTGAGGCACGGAATGCGATGTAGGAGTGGTTCAGAGCCATGTATTACACCCTTGGCATCAAGCAATAAATTGGCAGCCTCCAGCATATTAAGACCTATTGTGTGGAAACATCAAAAGCATGGCAGGCAAGGCAGGGTGCACTGCCCTAGACAGGTGGGTGAACCAACACTGTGACCAGCTTCGTGATGGCCCTCTGTCACAGGGAGTAACAATACTGGCCAAACTCACCGGGTAGCTGTAAGGCAGGGATGGCCAATCTGTAGCACACATGCCACAAATGACACAGGCAGCCTCTGTGCATGGCATGTAGCAAATCAGAGAGAATACAAACAGCAGTGGAAGATAGGGAGGCAGCAGAAAGCTGAGCAACAGGTCTGTCAGGGGAAGGAGATCAGAGTAGCACTCCAGGAGGGTATGAGGCTAATTTATGGCACACCTAGCAAAAATGTCGCCCCCACTGCTGTAAGGCATAGGTCATCTTGAAGTATTCTGAGTAAATAAGAAGTGCTTTCAGAAGCAAATATGTTACAGCTTTCAGAACAGATTTTAAAGTATGCTAATTCACTTGTCTTATCTCAAAGGTCCGAGCACATTTCTCTTCAGTTCAAGGTACATCACACTGCTAACAATGTTTCACAGAGAAACCAAATTCCTGGCAAAACAGCTGGATTCAAGTGGAAAACTGATCCCAGTTTACAGCATTAATGACCAAGAACACTTCAAGCCCCTATGTCTTGTACAAGGAAAAGAAAAAGCTTTTTTCTGGGAAAGCCAACGCTATTACAGAACAGAGTTTAAAATCAGTGATGTGCTTGTTCCAGGACACTACAATAAAAATCTAGGTAATGCCAGGCTTTAGTCATCTTTGCACGTTATTTACAAATTTGAGTTCTGCAGGCAGAATCACCAATATCTGCATCATCTGCCTTTAACAGCCACTTTCCAGCAGTGGTTGTCTAGTAGGGCTGTGTGAAGCTTTGGGTGGTGATTTGATTCAGATGAGATTTGGCCCAATTCGGTGGCCAAATCTCTGAATCAAATCAGGGGACCAATTTAAAGGTCTGAATTGATTCAAAGTTCTCCAGATCTTTGGAAAAGATTCAGAGAGGTTTGATCCGGGCAGTCTCCAGTGGCTGCAGCAGGGAGCTGCAGCTGATTCTGAGCTGGTAAGTACTAGGGGTGGGGAAGGCGGGAGGGGACCATGGTGGGGGACCCCTGCCAGTCCTCCCAACCGCCACCCTGCTCCCTAGTCCCCCATGGCTGCCCCGCTTGCCGTAGCTCAGTACTTTAAAAAAAAGCCCCAGTGCTCACCAAGTGCTGCTGGGCGTATGTGTGTGGGGGGGGGGGCAATACCCCACTGCCCCATGCTGCATAGGGGAATCTGCCAC